TTTGTAGAGGGGAGGATGAGGGTTCGAATGGTGGTGACAAGGGTGATTTTGGGTGGAAGAATCGCCGAAAAAGCGCTAAAAACGTCAGCGGTGAGGTTGGCTAACGTGCGTCAGAACTATATCAAGGGCTACGATTTGCTAATGTGTGCCTCCTTTGTGAAATGACCAATTTAACCCTAAGCCGTTATATCTAACCATTTCCCGTTACTTTAAGGGTGGGAATATAGAATAAATGGAACTTAGCGTACTAACTTAGGATTTCGTCAAACCTTGGGTGGGAACATGTCGTTTACTCTAAATATTGTTCAAAAACTATTGAGATTTGAGTGTGTGGAAGTATAAAAGTAATGAAAAATGTGGGCAAATAGCAAATATATGGGCTTTTTAGGCCCAATATATAACTGGTTCCAGTCCAAACCCGTTTTTTATGAGCAACAACGATGATTATATATATATAGTTACATACTACTTAATGAGCCAGAAGAAAAGGTGGGCTTGAGTTAGTCATTTCCCAACCATTTTAGAGCAAGCTTCATTAAATCTTAACAATAATTAAAATTAATTTATAAAGGCCTTATATTTCATTTCAAAATAATCCCTCCATAATATTTTTCTTTCTAGATCTCTTTGCTAATCCCATCATCGGTTTTTTCTCTTCGGACACCATTTTGTTAGTTGAGTACAAAATTTAAACACATTCCTTTAACAAAATATTTACACAGAATATTTTTTGTTCCAATTAACAAGCTTCCATGGGAAGAAAGAAATAAAAAATTGCTTTCAATTATGTATTTATTGGTAATGGGTAAGTGTTAAAGTAATTATTTTTCCTCTTTTCCTTTTCTTTGTTCTCCTTTACCAACTATATAAATATTGATGATTATAAAAACAGATTTTGAAATTTGATTCCTATAATAACTAAACTGAAAGTTTAACTCTTAAAAGTGTTTTTTTTTTTCTTTAATCCATAGTAATGAATCATGCTAGAAAATAAATGTAATGTACTATTATTTTAAGTTGATAATAAACTTTTGAATGCAATTTTTTGATCATACAGAATAAATATTTGCATTACTTAGAAGTCAGCATTTGTCAGTTTCAATAACAATGTATCGATTTAATTCAATCGTGAGTTTGCTAGTAGTTTTATCAATTTAATACAAATTAAATTTAAATACAACATAACCTTTATAAATTAATATCTGATAAATTAATAACTTTTATTATATAATAATTTCTTACGTCCCGACTTTTGATTATTAATAATTTTGATAAATTAATAAAGTAATATTTTTCTGTAAAACCTTACATAATTATGTGGTCTCATTCATAACATAAATAAATAATTTGTTAATTGACTATGATATTTTATTAACACATGACTCTATTGTTACTTGTTTATATAAATAATTTTTTTGTTGAATACATTTAATTAAATTAATGCAATTATATACAATGAATAATATTTAATTAAGTATATAAGTACAATGAATTTATTTTATACAATGAATATTATTTAATTAAGTACATAAGTACAATGAATTTATTTTATACAATGAATGTTATTTAATTAAGTACACTATACATAAGAACAATAAATTTAAATTAATGCTTTAATGTATATTTAGTAGATTAATTTATATTCATTTATTAAATTGGTAAAATACAATGAATCGTTAGTTGATTAAACGTATGTTCGTCGAATTTAAATACACTTTTATAAATTATTAAATTATTAATTTATTGATTAATTAATAACTCTTTTAATTAATAGAACTTATATGATCCCAAAATTATTAATTTAAAAAATTTTAATGTATTTAAAAAATTTTAACTTGTTCAAAATTTCTTTTTCATTTCATTTTAAAGAAGTGTGTCGAATAAAATACATGAATAGATAATTCTACTGATGCAAAATAACTCAAATACCAACAAATAAGAGAGAGAAGAGAAAGTGTTTTGAAAGACAAGGAGACAATTGTCAATAGGGGAATAGAAAGGGGCAGAGTGGAGAAAATAATAACTAAATTACATTTTCATACCCTGAAGTTTGAAGAAAATTATTTGAGTAACACTACACTCACAAACACTAACTTTCTCTTACAAACGTTACATGTCAGCTTATAATTCGGTAATTCACATGACTCTTGCCTGTCAAATAATAAGTCACTAAGCCAATCACAAACTCTATAATCCCTGTCAAAGTGCTACCGTTATCGTTTATCAAACAATGTAAGAGTATTTTTGGCTTTTCATGCAAGAAATTTTATAAAATTGTATATTAGAATTTTTGAAGTAATAAAATAAGATTTTAAAATTAAGAAAATAATAAAAGAGAGGTTAAAAAACAAAAAGACCAAAACCCCCACCCCCATTGTGCCTCTGGTGGCCCCCATTACACCATCATCGTTTCATTGTCATCACACTTTGCTATAGCCCGCCCCAGGTTAGTACCAGCAACGAAGGTGGCAATGAGGCCTCTTAGACCCCTATTTTATCCAACACAATGACACAATGGTTGGATCGTGAAACCTAGGTGTGAAAACCAAACAAAATAACGCTAGACTGCCACATCACGTGGCACTCGTCGTATGTGACATACTGTGTTGAGTGTAGTAGTTGCGAGAGATGTGAAGACTTTTATGTTATATTGTGGTTTTTATTTTGTTTTCTAATTTTTTTTAAATTTTTATTTATTATAAATTTATAATCAACCCAAATGGGGGTACTTGTGTCTTTACATAAGAAAATTAAGGGATCGTTCATTTTTATTTCTTTTTTTTTTTTGTGATTCTTTTTATTTCGTAATTCGTGCAATTTATACAAAAATTGTTCACTAATCTAAATCCTAATTTGGTTCTAAAACGGTGATCTAGATGAAATATAAAAAGACAATTTATAAAATATTTTATACAATATGTTATGTCTTAAAAATCACGCTTATGTCAGCCTAATAAATGTGTTGCCAAGCCCATATCTCCTTAAAGATATTCACACCAACTTTATCTCATTTCAAAGAAATGAATGGATGAGATCATTCCATGTGTCAAGACAACTTTTAAAACACTAATTACATTGAGTGTTTAGGTGTATAAATTGGCACTCATCTTCCCAAAGAGGGGGGCTGGGCATATGAGAATTAACCATAGATAAGAGCTCAATTCTTTTTCTCTGTAAACACTGTATTTCTTCATCTTTGTATGCCTTACGGGCAATATCATGAAAATAGTCAGAGATCAATAAAATAACAGTGGATGTAGGAGTCGCTTGTTGAGCATCCGAACCACTATAAAAACCCCTCTTGCCAATCTTTTATTTATGTTTTCTGCGACATATATAATCTCAACTCCATATTCAAATCTTATGGATCCATCACGTGTGATTCCTAAGTTCGCTTAGCGGTTCTCACGTGCGAGTCGTTGGCGTCCAAAATCAAGCGTCAACAGTTTGGTGGCCCATGCAGGTCCGATTCTCAAGCCTGCGTCCAAGTTCCCTGATGGTGTGCTCAGATCTCAAACCTGCGTCAGAATTCTCCAATCGTGTGGCCAGATCGTAGATCGCACGCGTCAGAATTCTCCAATCGAGTGGTCAGACGCACGTGTCAGAGTTCTCAGATCGTGTGGCCAGATCGCAGATCGCACATGTTAGAATTTGCCAATCGTGTGGCCAAATCGTAGATCGCATGCGTCAAAGTTCTCCGATCACGTGGCCAGATCGCATTCAGGTCGTGCTCCTGACAGATTTCAGGTCGTGCTCATAATAGATTTCAGTTCGAGCTCTTCAGGTAAAGACTGTAGCCATTCAGATCAAAGACCTTAGTTTTTGAAGTGCGATTACGCACTCCAAAAACTAGGGGGCTTCTGTTATGCCTTAAAAGTTACGCTTATGTCAGCCTAATAAATGTGCTGCCAAGCCCATATCTCCTCAAAGATATTCACACCAACTTTATCTCATTTCAAAGAAATGAATGGATGAGAGCCTTACATGTGTCAAGGCAACCTGCAAAATACTTATTACATTGAGTGTTTAGGTGTATAAATTGGCAATCCTCTTCCCGAAGAGGGGGTTGGACATATGAGAATTAACCATAGATAAGAGCTCAATTCTTTCTCTCTGTAAACACTGTATTTCTTCATTTTTGTATGCCTTACGGGCAATATCATGGAAATAGCCAGAGATCAATAAAATAATAGTGGATATAGGAGTTGCTTGTTGAGCATCCGAACCACTATAAAAACCCTTCTTACCAATCTTTTATTTATGTTTTCTGCGACATATATAATCTCAGGTCCATATTCAAATCTCATAGATCCATTACGTGTGATTCCTAAGTTCGCTTAGCGTTTCTCACGTGCGAGTTGTTGGCGTCCAAAATCAAGCGTCAACACAATATTTAATTAAAAAGGTGAGAAAAATTTCAGAACTTGAATTATAAATAATAAAATTTTCAAAATTGATTGTTAAGAATACTTTTGTTTTATGTTTGAATTAATCTTAATAAAAAAATTTAATTTGATTTTTAAAATTATTAATGATGTTAATAGATTAGTCTAAGCCAACGTTATTCCTTTTGTTTGATTTTTTGTATAATTTGGTCTAACTTCAAAAACAAAATGGCTATACGTTACTTTTCACATATTAAATTTATCCTTTCTCGAAACTCATTTTGTATTATAATTAGTGAATACATTTTCTCTATTTTTATTTTTCAAGTTCTGTGTTTGAAAATGATAATAACCGCATTTTCGAATTCTAAAACACACAATCAAATTACTTATATTCATTTTCGCATTTATTTTTGAAAACAAAAACGTAAAACGGGAAAATGAACGGCACCTAAATTTTTAGGTCCCCACGGTATTCTGATAGGGACGACGGTATATACTAAAAAAGTGTACTGGACCTTTAGGATATCGGCCAAACCGTAGGGACGTAAATGTATTTTCCCCGAGTTGGCATCTATGTCATCATGCCTGCGTCTTGCTCCTTTTTACTTTTTAGGCCTTCTCGCCTGCAATTTGTTTCCAGCTCTGCTTGTTAATATTTTCTCTTTAAAATTTAAATCCCTTTTTAATAAATAAAAAAAATTTGGCAGGATCTTTAGGACTAATTGATCCTACCACTTTTATTCTCGTCTTATATAGTTAAGGTTTTCAGAAATAAAAAAATTTGCTAAATTTATCTTTTTAAACTTTTTTACTCTTTCCGTTAATGACAATCTTTATGTCAGATTCTGTTAGCCGATTTTCCTAGAGAAAATAGTCTCTGTTTTGGTCTTTCTGCGACTGTCTTACTTATTAATCTTTCTTTGAAAAATTTATCTCTTTATCAGGTGAGGTTTTTTCTTGCTAAAAATTGCATCTTGGTTTATACATATTTTAAAAAAAAAAAAAAAAAATTAAAATTGGGATATTAGTGTATGGTCAGTTTTTCTACTTGAAACTGGTGCGGTGTAAATTGATGGGTAATTTTGTTTTGGTAATTTGTCTGATGGGTTCCATTTGATTTCATCTGGGTTTCGCTTATTTTTGCAGATAAGCTTTGGAAATTAATTTCTTTTACCTAATTGTTGTTTTTTACTGGGTTATGTTAATCTCAAGAAGACCGTGGCACTGAGAGTGTCTCATTGAACAGATTGAATCTTAGCTCACTCAGGCAAGTCTTATTCTTATGTTAAAGTTCACATTTTTTTTTCTTTCAAAGTTAAATTTATGTGTACGCGTGTTAGTTGAAGTTCAAACTCTTTGGGGTTTGGTTATGCAAATGTGAATGTGTTGACATATGCTTTTTCGAGGAGATTTAAGTTCTGTTTGATTTTTTTGTGCATTTTCATATTGAATCTTTTTATCTTTCTAATGTATGTTAACAGATTTGATTCTCAAAATAAGTGTTTGCTAGTGTTTTTTTTTTCTTTTGAAATTACTGTTCGTCCCATGGATTTGGCAAATGCTGAAGAGACTGATTATTATTGCCAATTTTTAAGTTGGAGAAATTATTAATTCCAGTGATGGTCACAGAATAGAGTGTATTTTGACATTATGGCTTGGTACTTCAGGTTGGTGTTCTTTTGAAGTGAGTCTGGGTTTGTTCCGGTGAACTATGTTTCATATAAGCCGTAGTCCATAAGTTCTGTCTTGCAGTTTTTAGTTGCTGTTGCACATATTATATATGGGTACACAAAATGTTGGAATTTAGAGAAGGGGATGGCATTTTTATGCGTTGGGAAGGAGTGAGATGCAGAACAGAAAGGATTGAGTGCAATTCCATTTGTTTTTCTAGGCACGAATGGGAATCCATTCAATTCTGAGTTTTGCATTGTCTTGGAGATGGAATTAGTGCGATCTGTGGGAAGTAGATTTTAAAATGCCGTTATGTTAATTTTGTAAGTCTGGGAGTAGGAGTTCAAGCTATCTGTAATGAAAAAAGAAGTTTTGCATACCTTTACCCCAACTCAGCTCTGGTACCTCTTCTCACTCATTGGAAAATAGATCATTAAACTTTCAAACCTCAATATCCTGACAATGGACCAATTCAGAACTCTTGATTTCATAGTAATAGATTGACTCAGAACTGACAATGGACCAATTCAGAACTCTTGAGTTCATATATATATATATATTTGTATGTGCATCAGTTTATAGCCCTTTGGTATATATGCGGGTCAGGCCCTCGTTGATTTTTGGCCTTTGTTTCAGTATGCTGGTGATGGCCTGATGTTGTAATAGGTAACATATTAGTTCAGGTGTATTGTAGTGATCAATGGTCTTGGTAGTACATCTGATGCGTTTGATCAATTAAACAGAAGGTCATTTATGTCAGTTGAGATTGATTCCAATTTTGTTTACTGGTGAAATGCCAATGATGTCATTGAATTCTTTTGTGTCCTATTCCAGGAAGTCAGATGCCAAATTTTGAGGTCCAATTTCTATTAAAGACCTTGATGAAATAATTAGGGATGGAGTGATTTTAAGTGAATGTGCTTATTGTTGTATATCTTAATGTTTTAATCTAAATTGATATCAATAGGAATGAAGTTGCTTTCCTGATTGTGCATGATATTGTTCTCTTTTCAAGCAAGGTACAATTTGCTATGATATTTTAAGCTATTCTCATGTTGGAATAAGGGTAGGTTTTACTTTTGAGTAAATGTGTTTCGAAGGTGGATATTGTTACAAATAAACTATATTTGTAGCGGGCTGATTCTTTTAATACCTCAAATAGTTAAAATGTTTTTTTAAAACTTTATTCCACTTTGCAAACTAATCAAACTCCTGAACCTTCTAGATGTTACTTGTACCTGAATAACACTTGCTTTCTATAAGAAATCAAGGATCTATCTACAAGAGATGAAAGCATTTAAGTTTATGGTACACGCCTTTGATCTATTTTTGTAATTTCATTATTATTGATAGTGTCTCACTTTTTTGGTTGCATTTTTGACTGATCTTTAGTCTCTATTGTTTAAAATTTTGCTTTTTAGATTGTGGAGATGTATTTTACATCTAAATACTAAATCTTTTTCTCTTTGTTCATTAGGCCTTTTGTTTCCTAAACTTGTAGGTTATGTTACACCTTTTTATACTGGTACACTTAAATTTTATTGTACCTTTTCACTTTACCAAGTTAGTGAAAGGAAGTTGTTCAATTATGTTTTGTGTTGTTTTAACATTGAAGTTCTACTATTGTTTTAGTCTACCTTGAGAGTAGGGAAACTATTACCTTTCTCCTTCATTTAGCTTGCATCAATGAAAGCAAATTGGACTTTCATTGTTGCTTAATTCCAACGATTAGTTTGTTAGTTAATGCTTGATCTCTTAGGCAAAAGAAAAGGAAAAAATATCTAAAATCAGTGAACCATTTCCTCTTATTATTCATTGGAGGCCTTACATTGTGTTCGAGAGGTAGGAGCCTTAACTTAATTTGCTATAAGCGTAAGCATGGTGTCCGAAATACAAGTTTTAAGTTTTTTAATGATGATGTCTTTGTTACATTCTGTGAAGAATTAAATGGCATTCCAAATTTGAAAATGTTGATTGCCTTTCTTTTACTGTTTCCTCTCTTTGGAAGCTTTATATGATATTTGCTAACAACACTATTAGGTATATGAACTCTTTTATATAGAATAATGGGGATAACATGACTCACATTGTTTCTTTTCTTGCAAAAGTTCTTATATAAAGCACACTTTTTGTGACATATTGGGTTCCACCAAACATATAATTTGTTTACTTCAGTGTAACGCAAACATTCTTCTCTCACAGTTTATTTTTGCACTTTATACATCTGTCTTTCACTTAGAATATGTCTCCTCCATCTAAAGTATAAACAAGCTCAAAATCTTGTTTTATAACGATGAGGGATGTGATAGAACTTTATGATTTGTTGACCTCATGTTCTTATAAGGTTTAGGCATTCCATACCATTAGATAACGAGCCCATTCTGGTACTCATTATAACAATCCGTTTTCACATATTATGATATTGTTCAATATGGATTGAGCACTCATGGTTTGCTTTTGGAATAACCCAAAAAATCTCATACCAATAGGAAGAAATCTCTTACATACATAAGTGGTGACCCTCTCTAACCAGACTATATAGGATTTTGAAACCCTGTCCTTACTTCATTTATTTTGACCACTATTTGTTATGACTTAGCAGTGGTAGGTCTTGGGTTTTACAAATGTATCATTTACAGGGTCGAATGTCCTCGTTTGGGAATTAAGCCCGAGTTGTTGGTTGTTATGTCCACACTATTAGGTAGATTTGAATCATATACCAATTGTAAGAGTCAAAGCCCAATCAAATAGATATTGTCTGTTTAGGTTTTAAGCAAGTATTTTTCATCTTAACGGTGTTATTTTTGGGCATTATGCAATTGGTTTTGACCCAAAACACATATATTTAAATGATGAAACCTAAGTTATAAACTAGCCACTAGCCTAGATTCTTATTTGGTACAGATAATGAGATGTGACAAAAGGTTGGAATCATGACTTGATGAGGCATAGTGACTAAACCTCACAAGGAAGTTAGTTCTTTAAAGTGGAGAGTTTATCACATCTCTTTGGTAAGAAATGAGAGTAAGTTGGTTTGTAAGTCTTTTGAGTCCCTTTTAAGCACTTAGACATGTTTTGTGTAAATCATAGTTGCCTGGAGTAAACCAAATTTTTAAGGGTGAAGAACACTTATATGAAGCGTGAGCTGACAATAGTTACTTGGTTGGACTCGGGCTATTAAAAATAGTTTTCGAGCTAGATCTACCTTATGGTGTGGACCAAAAAGCCCAATAAGCTGAGCTTAGTTCCCACACAAGTACGTGTGGTGCTTTAAAGTGTAAATTTATAAGACTTCATAACCAGTACTTTTGAGGCATAACATAGAGTGGTTAGGATGGATACGATAGATGAGGTGAGGGCAGAATTTTAGAGTCCCATATCGCCTGGTTAGAGAGTTAAGTGTACTATATATGCAAGAGACCTTCTTTTAGTATGAGAGCTTTTGGGTTATATACCCAAAGCAAAGTTGTGTGGGTTAGACTCAAAATGAATAAATATCATATTATGTGGGAGCGGGTTGTTACAATTGGTATCAGAATGGGCTTATTACTCAATGGTGTGGAGTCACTAAATTTCATGAGAATGCAAGGTCTTACACTGCACCCTTAGGTCACCAAGTCCATAAGTTAATTTATAAGCTTTGGGTGAAGATTGGTTGCTTAATAGTGCAAAAACCAATTTATCTGGGTGAAGATTGGTTACTTGTGAATAATGCTTGTGTTAATCCTGAACACGTAAGTGCCACCTTGATAAGTGCTACCAAACTTGTGTTTAATTTTGAATTACTTAAGTTGTAATTAATTTTCACCTGTGTTGGTTCACTATGACTATATATTGCTTATGTAAGAATAAATTAAATTATCATAGATTTATAGAAATGTTTAGTTGTATATATATGTTGTTATGAATAATAATTTGGAATGGAGCTTTCTCTGTTGACAATGCATAATAATTGCACCAAATAATCAGGAGATGAGAGGGCTATGTACTTGATTGCCTAGTAGTGTCTTAGTGGAATGCACTGCAATTCTGTTCATGCCTTTTAGAGCTAGTGTTTTGCAGTAGCCCAAAGAAGTTTTTATGGGCAGATGATTGATATAAAATCTATTATGAGCTGTTATGAGCACAAATGCCAGGCACTCAGTATCTATGTAGCTGATTCCGTCTTGTTGAGTTGAGTTGAGACTGTGAATGAAGTTTTAAATATTACACCTTTTCATTGTACCAGGGAATCTTATATTTATTTCGTACTGCCATATTGCATTTTGAGATGAGACTTCATTGAATTGACTCTTAAATACTGTTGTTATTATACAATGCAATATTCATGTGGCATATTATTGCTGTTACATATTTTTTGCTGACAAGATGTTGCTGCATCTTTCCAGGGTCATTTGTGTTGCAATCTTCGTTTGTTGATGATTTTGCATCATTAGGGGCCACTCTCCAACATGAACAACCAATATGGTCAAGATCATGTAAGCAATGCAATTTTGTGATAATTTGGACAACTGAAATAAAATGGATGTTAAATATACAACCCTTATGCAGGATGAAGTAACTGTAGCTGGTTTCGAAGTGCCAAACTCACCTGATTCAAGTTACAGTAACTTGCACCCTGGGAATGAAGACGAGGCTCGTGACCCACCTCTTGTCCCTCCACATTTGCAACATACCTTGCTTAGCCTTCCACCGAGTGGGGACACCTCTGAAACTCTCCCTTTGCCTCAAAGTGTGATCTTAAACCATCTTTACATTGAGAATCGAGAGTCCCCACGATCTGTAGTGGCCCTTGGGTTTACTCATCGCTTCCGATCCAAATTCGTTACTGTTGTTCTATACAAACCGGTTCCTAGAAGGGGGAGTAGCAGCACATAACATGCATATACTCTATCTCACTCATTGGAAAATAGATCATTAAACTTTTCAAACCTCAATATCCTGACAATGGACCAATTCAGAACTCTTGAGTTCATATGTATATATATATGAACTCAGAACTGACAATGGACCAATTCAGAACTCTTGAGTTCATATATATATATATATTTGTATGTGCATCAGTTTATAGCCCTTTGGTATATATGCGGGTCAGGCCCTCGTTGATTTTTGGCCTTTGTTTCAGTATGCTGGTGATGGCCTGATGTTGTAATAGGTAACATATTAGTTCAGGTGTATTGTAGTGATCAATGGTCTTGGTAGTACATCTGATGTGTTTGATCAATTAAACAGAAGGTCATTTATGTCAGTTGAGATTGATTCCAATTTTCTTTACTGGTGAAATGCTAATGATGTCATTGAATTCTTTCGTGTCCTATTCCAGGAAGTCAGATGCCAAATATTGAGGTCCAATTTCTATTAAAGACCTTGATGAAACAATTAGGGATGGAGTGATTTTAAGTGAATGTGCTTATTGTTGTATATCTTAATGTTTTAATCTAAATTGATATCAATAGGAATGAAGTTGCTTTCCTGATTGTGCATGATATTGTTCTCTTTTCAAGCAAGGTACAATTTGCTATGATATTTTAAGCTATTCTCATGTTGGAATAAGGGTAGGTTTTACTTTTGAGTAAATGTGTTTCGAAGGTGGATATTGTTACAAATAAACTATATTTGTAGCGGGCTGATTCTTTTAATACCTCAAATAGTTAAAATGTTTTTTTAAAACTTTATTCCACTTTGCAAACTAATCAAACTCCTGAACCTTCTAGATGTTACTTGTACCTGAATAACACTTGCTTTCTATAAGAAATCAAGGATCTATCTACAAGAGATGAAAGCATTTAAGTTTATGGTACACGCCTTTGATCTATTTTTGTAATTTCATTATTATTGATAGTGTCTCACTTTTTTGGTTGCATTTTTGACTGATCTTTAGTCTCTATTGTTTAAAATTTTGCTTTTTAGATTGTGGAGATGTATTTTACATCTAAATACTAAATCTTTTTCTCTTTGTTCATTAGGCCTTTTGTTTCCTAAACTTGTAGGTTATGTTACACCTTTTTATACTGGTACACTTAAATTTTATTGTACCTTTTCACTTTACCAAGTTAGTGAAAGGAAGTTGTTCAATTATGTTTTGTGTTGTTTTAACATTGAAGTTCTACTATTGTTTTAGTCTACCTTGAGAGTAGGGAAACTATTACCTTTCTCCTTCATTTAGCTTGCATCAATGAAAGCAAATTGGACTTTCATTGTTGCTTAATTCCAACGATTAGTTTGTTAGTTAATGCTTGATCTCTTAGGCAAAAGAAAAGGAAAAAATATCTAAAATCAGTGAACCATTTCCTCTTATTATTCATTGGAGGCCTTACATTGTGTTCGAGAGGTAGGAGCCTTAACTTAATTTGCTATAAGCGTAAGCATGGTGTCCGAAATACAAGTTTTAAGTTTTTTAATGATGATGTCTTTGTTACATTCTGTGAAGAATTAAATGGCATTCCAAATTTGAAAATGTTGATTGCCTTTCTTTTACTGTTTCCTCTCTTTGGAAGCTTTATATGATATTTGCTAACAACACTATTAGGTATATGAACTCTTTTATATAGAATAATGGGGATAACATGACTCACATTGTTTCTTTTCTTGCAAAAGTTCTTATATAAAGCACACTTTTTGTGACATATTGGGTTCCACCAAACATATAATTTGTTTACTTCAGTGTAACGCAAACATTCTTCTCTCACAGTTTATTTTTGCACTTTATACATCTGTCTTTCACTTAGAATATGTCTCCTCCATCTAAAGTATAAACAAGCTCAAAATCTTGTTTTATAACGATGAGGGATGTGATAGAACTTTATGATTTGTTGACCTCATGTTCTTATAAGGTTTAGGCATTCCATACCATTAGATAACGAGCCCATTCTGGTACTCATTATAACAATCCGTTTTCACATATTATGATATTGTTCAATATGGATTGAGCACTCATGGTTTGCTTTTGGAATAACCCAAAAAATCTCATACCAATAGGAAGAAATCTCTTACATACATAAGTGGTGACCCTCTCTAACCAGACTATATAGGATTTTGAAACCCTGTCCTTACTTCATTTATTTTGACCACTATTTGTTATGACTTAGCAGTGGTAGGTCTTGGGTTTTACAAATGTATCATTTACAGGGTCGAATGTCCTCGTTTGGGAATTAAGCCCGAGTTGTTGGTTGTTATGTCCACACTATTAGGTAGATTTGAATCATATACCAATTGTAAGAGTCAAAGCCCAATCAAATAGATATTGTCTGTTTAGGTTTTAAGCAAGTATTTTTCATCTTAACGGTGTTATTTTTGGGCATTATGCAATTGGTTTTGACCCAAAACACATATATTTAAATGATGAAACCTAAGTTATAAACTAGCCACTAGCCTAGATTCTTATTTGGTACAGATAATGAGATGTGACAAAAGGTTGGAATCATGACTTGATGAGGCATAGTGACTAAACCTCACAAGGAAGTTAGTTCTTTAAAGTGGAGAGTTTATCACATCTCTTTGGTAAGAAATGAGAGTAAGTTGGTTTGTAAGTCTTTTGAGTCCCTTTTAAGCACTTAGACATGTTTTGTGTAAATCATAGTTGCCTGGAGTAAACCAAATTTTTAAGGGTGAAGAACACTTATATGAAGCGTGAGCTGACAATAGTTACTTGGTTGGACTCGGGCTATTAAAAATAGTTTTCGAGCTAGATCTACCTCATGGTGTGGACCAAAAAGCCCAATAAGCTGAGCTTAGTTCCCACACAAGTACGTGTGGTCCTTTAAAGCGTAAATTTATAAGACTTCATAACCAGTACTTTTGAGGCATAACATAGAGTGGTTAGGATGGATACGATAGATGAGGTGAGGGCAGAATTTTAGAGTCCCATATCGCCGGGTTAGAGAGTTAAGTGTACTATATATGCAAGAGACCTTCTTTTAGTATGAGAGCTTTTGGGTTATATACCCAAAGCAAAGTTGTGTGGGTTAGACTCAAAATGAATAAATATCATATTATGTGGGAGCGGGTTGTTACAATTGGTATCAGAATGGGCTTATAACTCAATGGTGTGGAGTGACTAAATTTCATGAGAATGCAAGGTCTTACACTGCACCCTTAGGTCACCAAGTCCATAAGTTAATTTATAAGCTTTGGGTGAAGATTGGTTGCTTAATAGTGCAAAAACCAATTTATCTGGGTGAAGATTGGTTACTGTGTGATAATGCGTGTTTATCTGAACACGTATGCCACCTTGATAAGTGCTACCAAACTTGTGTTTAATTTTGAATTACTTAAGTTGTAATTAATTTTCACCTGTGTTGGTTCACTATGTATATATTGCTTATGTAAGAATAAATAAATTATCATAGATTATAGAAATGTTTAGTTGTATATATGTTGTTATGAATAATATTTGGAATGGAGCTTCTCTGTTGACAATGCATATAATTGCACCAAATAATCAGGAGATGAGAGGGCTATGCATCTGAGTGCCTAGTATGTCTTAGTGGAATGCACTGCAATTCTGTTCATCCCTTTAGAGCTAGTGTTTTGCAGTAGCCCAAAGAAGTTTTTATGGGCAGATGATTGATATAAAATCTATTATGAGCGTTTGAGCACAAATGCCAGCACTCAGTACTATGTAGCTGATTCCGTCTTGTTGAGTTGAGTTGAGACTGTGAATGAAGTTTTAAATATTACACCTTTTCATTGTACCAGGAATCTTATATTTTTTCGTACTACCATATTGCATTTTGAGATGAGACTTCATTGAATGACTCTTAATACTGTTGTTATTATCATACAATATTCATGGGGCATATTATTGCTGTTACATATTTTTTGCTGACAAGATGTTGCTCATCTTTCCAGGGTCATTTGTGTTGCAATCTTCGTTGTTTGATGATTTTGCATCATCAGGGGCCACTCTCCAACATGACACCAATATGGTCAATCATGTAAGCAATGCAATTTTGTGATAATTTGGACAACTGAAATAAAATGGATGTTAAATATACAACCCTTATGCAGGATGAAGTAACGGTAGCTGGTTTCGAAGTGCCAAACTCACCTGATTCAAGTTACAGTAACTTGCACCCTGGGAATGAAGACGAGGCTCGTGACCCACCTCTTGTCCCTCCACATTTGCAACATACCTTGCTTAGCCTTCCACCGAGTGGGGACACCTCTGAAACTCTCCCTTTGCCTCAAAGTGTGATCTTAACCATCTTTACATTGAGAATCGAGAGTCCCCACATCTGTAGTGGCCCTTGGGTTTACTCATCGCTTCCGATCCAAATTCGTTACTGTTGTTCTATACAAACCGGTTCCTAGAAGGGGGAGTACAGCACATAACATGCATATATAAAAAAAAAAAAAAAAACCTTATTAGGTTTTGCCCCCGCACAATGAAATCAATGAATGAACCCAAATACGAATTAGTTGCAAATAATATTTATTATTTCAAAACATCTTATGATCTTAGATTTATTTGATGAACCTAAAATAGCCATTATGTGATGAGTAGATTTGGTATACATTTATATTTGTCCATTCTTGTTGTTGGTGTGTGGGATTGAAGTTTTTGCTTATAATGGAAAACTAGAAGTAGTTGGCTTTGTGTGTAGTGAATGGCTGGTTTTTGAATGCCAGCCTTTTGTTTATCTAACAGTCACCCCGCAACCAGTATTATAACTGATTAGATTAACAGTGAGTTAGATTTCATGAATAAAAATGTCACAAAGCTTTTCATTATGTAGTGGTTGATTACATGTGCAGGCTGATGATTTCAGCAAACGGTTTGTTAGGTATTAGTTTAAGAATATTTAAGCCAATCATTCTGTACTGTAGGTGCTTATCCTCTTGAAAGGACAGACAAGGATCTGTACAGTGAATTTGTGATGAGTTTGGAATATAAATGTTTTAGTCAACGCAATAGCATTGCGTCCTCATAGAACTGTTCTGGCCTGTAGATAATGTTGAAGTGTATATTATTAGAAATCTGATTATGAGCGTGCATTTTTTATGAAGCTTTACATATATTGCAATGGCTGCTTGGCATTACATTATTATTGTTTTTGATAACTGTAGTGTCTGGATCAGTTTGTGTGCATCTCAATTAATTATAGGACTCATTGAACACTATATGAGTTCAAAGGATTAGGTAAACTACAATGTTATTGTGATAGGTAGTTCCAAGGTTTGAATTTAAGAACTCAAAAAAGAGAATAATCTTCTTTGACCGTTAGGCCAATCCCTTGGTATGTATTTTTAGCGAAACTTTACATATTGCAAAGGCTGATTGGTATTGCATTATTTTCTCTGCTTATTTTAAGGAACTTGCCGCATGATTCATTCTTTCTTGATTATCTTATTTAAGTAATGGATACATCGGCTTAACTGTGTAAAAAAGTCTATTTCAGTTGTGATTCTATAATATATATGAATAAACAGATGGAAGATCAGAACGATCTCATCTTCCTTTATTTTAGGTTTCATAAATGAGTAATGCTACAATTATCGAAGTGTGTGTACCGAATTTGTACATCGAATGACATGACGAAATCCTGACCGTTGATTCATTATAAGTTAATATTAACCAACGGTCAGGATTTTGTCACGTCATTCAGTGCACAAATTTAGTGAGTAACTTCCAGTAACTCTGTCATTTTCCCACATAAAAACCCGCTACAATGTATTGTTAAAAAGGCTGCCTTACTCGAAATAGGGTGGCTGTAATTTTTCTAAAGGATAATAAATTGCTGTCCGTTCTTCTATAAAAAGTTTGTGAGTTTTATCCATAAACTCTGTGATAATTTCTGTTTTGTTAATTTATTTTACAACCTTTGTTAATTTTATTTAACGATGAATAAAAATAAATTTTAGAAATTTTAGAAAGAGATTTATTTATATATAAAGAGAAGGAATAAGCATTTTCATTTTAAAACCTTTGTTAATTTTATTTAAAGATGAATAAAAAAAAGCATTTCTATAATTATGAAATTCGAGATTGAGTCTCTACCCTAGCCTCCAAGTATGCCATCCATCCTCAACTTAGAGCCATCTGGAGCCTGTTTGATTAATTCGTCTTGTTTTATCGGGTGCCTGTGCTCGTTCCTCTTTTTTGTGTGGTTTGAGCTTGGGAGCTCTGTTAGGGTGCTTGAGCCCATCTCCCTCCTTTTTTTGGAGTTTTTATGCTGGGCGATTGCTCTCATCCTTTTGTCCAAAAAGATGGGCATATCTATTTTAGTTTTCTTTAGATCTCTTCTGGAGGTATGTCTCTAGTTTTTTTTGTATATTTTCTCTTCTTTTATGAAATTTACCTTTTCCAAAAAAAAAAAAAAAAAAATTATATTAGTTTATACAAAATCTATAAACAAGTTTATAAGCACTCATAATTGAATAGCCAAATACTTTATCCAAACACAGACAAACTTATCTGCAAACATGGATCGTTGTCCTGCCTATGCAATCTGATACATAAAAGCTCTTATAATGGAGCTCTTATTTATTATTATCTTCTAACATTCTTATCTTACTAAGCAGTGCTGAAGTCATTTCTTCAATCTGATATAATGGAGCATTCTCATTTCTTCACATAATGCAGCTTTAATTTAATTTAAAAAAACACAAGAAATGCTGGTAAGATGTTCACAAAACAATACTCATCATTTCCCAACGTCAAACTATTTATCTTTTGTTTAATTTATTGAGAGGGGCCAATTATGACATTTGGTCGACCTGAAAAGTCTATTAGAAGTATAAACACCCTTAAATAATGCAAAAGGGCCTTATCTACAGTCCTCACTTCATTTCCAGCAAATCTCAACCACAAACCAAGTCATCTTGTCTACAATCTTGAAAATTATACACCAAAAAACTCTCAAAGCTCGTGAAAGGTTAAGCTGGAACTATATGATAATAATAATTGTCTGCATCACAATGGTAAGTAACTAGTTAGAAAACTAGAAAACGGCTGTTTAATTGTAGAAAAGATGTATCATTTGACCTGCAAAGTAGTAGGAGTTTTGTGGGCCAATTTTTAATTGGAAGAATTATATCCGGAGAGTTGGCAAAGTGTAAAGAAACTGAAATAAAAAGGACGATTATCCAAATTATTGGGGCAGGTTTGGTTGACTTGGAATATTTCCTAAAATATCAATAAGTTGGCCCCTAAAGTTGTGCATATCACATATACTATGAACTTGGTTGCACATTTTATAAAAAAATATAATTCCTATTGTTGACAATGTATGAACAAATCTATCAAGTTATTAACAAGTGCATGACAAAGAAAGATAAAACGTGAAACACATAAGACGGTGGATGAGGTGAGCATATGCATACTTGCAGTGCTTCTGTGAGAACACTGCTTAATTTCAGCGATCAATAACTCAGGAGTTGAATGCAAATTGTGCAACTTGGTTAATAGATATAACCTGGACGGCAGGACCTTGTAGATATTGGTTCGGTTTATCAATTTGTATGATTGTATCCAAAGAATAAAAAAAAAAAAAACATAATAATAATAAGGAATGAAAAAACATACGTAACTCTAATCTACTAGAAAACAAGCATAGCATGCAACTCAAAAAGAATCAAAAACAAGGTGGGCATAATTTGAAGAATTTGACAGTAAAAATTAGTCCAGAGTTAATAATTAAATAACATTGTCCATATTCTTAGAAACTTTTATACAAAGCTTTACCATCTGCAGATCGATCAAACCAATTAATTCTTCATCCAAGCGAATAAATTTTTTTCTCAAGTCCAAAACTTTGATTAGTTAACTTAAACTAGCCAACGTTTTTGTTAGCATATTAAATGATGAGGTCGACTTTAGATTATTAGACTATAATCGAAACTTTAAAACATCACCAACTGTTAGTATAAAATTTATATACAAATAATCACCATTGGATGAACTAATGGTAAGAGAGTAAAATGTGGTTTTATGAATTCCTAAGTTTGAGTCTCTCTAGTCATTAATAAGGGTGGTCACTAAGACTCTTACCCGATTGATAGTTTCAGGATAACGGGAGATTATTTGAGGTATGTGCAAGCTGATTTGGACACCCTCGGTAATAAAAAAAAAAAATTTATACACAAATTACTTCGAACAAGATGCTTGGTTTAGATAAAGATTATTTCATGATCTCAGTTTTATTTGAACAAAATATATTTTTATGATTGATGGTTAATAGAAAAAAAAAAAAAAAAAAAAGATAAAGAAAAAATAATAAATCTTGACCGTAAATTTTTATAAATGTATAAATGTTACTTAATTTTTAAAAGTTTAGAAGAGCTTCGATAGGGATCTTAATTATGTTATATTATATAAGTATTGTAATTTGTATTTACAAATCCCATAATTTCCTTCAAAAGTTACCGGCTTCTCCATAGCTTGACGCTAAAGTATAAACAAAGGGGAAAGGCAACTTACCTATAGATTAATAAATCATTAAACATGGAAAGTGTCAATAATTTTGAATTAGTTGGCTAGTGGGGCCAAAGAGGTGATATGATCCTTTGGGATATACGACGAGGCTTCACTGTTCATAGCTAGATGCGGCGAAATGGAATCCATTACTATGTGATTTTGTTAATTCAATTACATTTTCATAACTGTTGGGAATCTTGATATGCTCTTAAGAGAAGGCACGTATAATGTCAACGATTACCACAATATAAATACCACGCATCCTTGCCGATTCCCTTCACCACATCAACACAATTTCCTTCAATATTTCTCTAAGTCGCTTAGTTCATACTCCTAAATAGCTCCCACCTCCTCTCTTGCCATAGAAGGAAAGAAAATGGCCGATATTGAGGGATCCCCCGGAAGCTCCATGCATGGAGTCACTGGGAGAGAACCAGCCTTTGCTTTCGCTGTTGCTTCACCCATGGTTCCAACTGATACCACTGCAAAATTTGCTTTACCTGTTGATTCTGAACACAAGGCCAAAGTATTCAAACTTTTCTCTTTTGCTGCACCCCACATGAGAACTTTTCACTTATCCTGGATTTCCTTCTTCACTTGCTTTGTCTCCACTTTCGCTGCAGCCCCACTCGTTCCCATCATTCGTGATAACCTTAATTTAACAAAGGCAGATATTGGTAATGCTGGGGTTGCTTCTGTTTCTGGGAGTATATTCTCTAGGCTTGTAATGGGTGCAGTTTGTGACCTGTTGGGGCCAAGATATGGTTGTGCTTTTTTAATCATGCTTACAGCTCCTACAGTATTTTGCATGTCGTTTATATCATCTGCAGGAGGGTATATTTCCGTTCGTTTCATGATCGGGTTTTCTCTAGCAACCTTTGTGTCATGCCAATACTGGATGAGCACAATGTTTAACAGTAAAATCATTGGACTCGCTAACGGAACTGCAGCTGGATGGGGTAACATGGGAGGAGGTGCAACTCAATTGTTGATGCCTATTGTTTATGATATCATTCGACGGGTTGGAGCAACTCCTTTCACAGCCTGGAGAATGGCCTTCTTCATCCCT